GATAGATAGATAGATAGATAGATAGATAGATAGATAGATAGATAGATAGATAGATAGATAGATAGATAGATAGATGGACAGACAGACAGATTAAAGCATGAGTTCTTCCTTGAACAGAACCAATTTTAGTAAGTTATTATTATAATTTTGACTGAGTTCCTTGACAAAGAGACAATTGTACCTATAATGGAACTCTAAGAAACCTTATTTAACATTAATATGTGCGGTAGGACTCGTGTTCAATCAGAATCTGCAAGTGCTTTAACAAAATGATTAAAAATGTACTATTTTATTCCTTGCCCACCTGGAAGCTACAGTTTTGTGTTTGCTAAACGATTATAGAGGGAGACTTGGCTTTTCTAGTTCGAAAACATTCCTTTTGCCATCAAGCTTTACATGAATGTCAGCAACTGGACTCTGCGTTAGGGCCTACACCAGAAAACTGGCAGGCAATCTAGCATGAGGTTCCCTCTTTGTGAATCTATTTTTTTAGCAGAAGCAGCAACTTGGAGCATTCCTTTTCCACATCCCTGGCATTTCTCCATTTGATAAGTGAATTGAATAGCAAAGACGTGAGTATAATTTGACTTTAGACATAACCAATTTATCACTTACCCAGCAATCCTGGATCCTGTAATGAAAAGCCAGGCTGAGCGTCTGGATTGGCAGAGAGTGACACCTGCTTCAGTTAGTTCAAATTAGAAATGCCAAAAGAAGGGAATAAACTGTCAAACAAAAAATATGTCAGACATTTTACAGGTCTAATGCTCTGGTAAACTGGTGGATTGAGGTTTTAGTTGGAGCGTATTTGTGGGATGCGAATACACACAAAGACAGAAAGCATATCAGGATTCTTGCCTCTTATACACTTACAGCCTCTTCAAATGTTGCTTTCTTGGTTCTTCAAAAGTTTGAAATAACTGGTTTTCCATAGAAGAGATACATCATTTCAAAATTCAGACAAAGTCAAAGATTTCTAAACCTCTCTCATAAATGAATACTCTTTTAGGTGCAGTCCATTTTTGGTTCACTATTGATATTATATTATTATGTTTCAAACCAACAAAGAAGCTTTGTCAACTGGCAGTGTTTAATGCCTGGTGAAAAGGTTTCTGCACTAATTGAAAACATTAAGAAATTGTGTAAATTCACTGTGACAGTCGTGTCACCGTGGGTGCCCCGACAGAGTCTTTTAGAGACCAAGATTCGTTGGTAACAGGTTTATTATGAGCGTGTGTGCCACCCGCACACACAC